AGGCACTGTCCACAGAGGCGCCCTGGCCGGCTTGAAACTGAAGGCACAGCAGTGTCTCAAACTGGCAGCCCAGGGGCCACATCAAGCCCTTGGATGTGTCCCTTGGTGCCTGCCCAGCCTTAATACTTAATTGAAAGAAGCTTAAATCCATTTTGGTGGAGTGAGTTCTCCTTCCGGTGTGCCACAGGCTGGTACCTCCCAGCTTCGTTCATTTATGCGGCCCCTGAAGGCAGCTGAGTTTGAGATCCCTGGTGTGGCTCAAAGGAGAAGGATGCTGGTCTCACGTGGCGGCCGTGAGGACGGAGTGGGATCCTGCGTAGGAGTGCCCAGCGCAGAGTAGGTGCTTGGTGACATGTGGCTGTGACATCTGTTGTCACACGGATAAGGTGGTGGGCCATGAGCAGGGATGCTGGATTTCACTCTTTACTGGACACTCATGGTGCGTATCTCACCGAATGCCTCCTCCAGTCCTGGGAGCCACGTGCCACCTTATCCCCGTGGTACAGGGGAGACATTGAGGGACAGGTCCGAAGAGGCAGAGCTGGGCTTTGTCTGTGGGTCTGTGTGGCTGGCCTTTTGGTGGGCATCTTAGGAGAGAAAAAGGGTTCTGGCATTTCTGGGTGAGCCTGGGGGCTCCATGCCCTCCCCTGGACCCCTGGGCTCGGGGCTATCTCTGTGGGTGTGAGGCCTGGCCCCTCCTCACTGCGCACACGCCGCCTCTGGGGAACCTGTGGGCTCGGGTCTGTGCCGCTGTGCCGGCCGCGTGTCCCTGGCTGCCGAGGGGTCGATCCTGAGCGTGTCCCTTTGGTCTCCAGCAGGGTGGGCCAGCGGGGCAGCGGGCTCTCCATGTCAGCCGCCCGCAGCGAGCACGAGGTGTCCGAGATCATCGATGGCCTCTCGGAGCAGGAGGTAAGTCCACGGCCTTGACCCTGACCTCAGCTCCACCCGCTGTGTCCCCTGCGCGTGGAGAAGCTCCCAGCAGGAAGCAGAATTCACCTGGATGCTTGAAATCAAGGGGCTTGTTACTGAAGTGTGGGCAGAGGCAAGGTGGGACAGTGGGGCACCAGGGGAGTAGACATTGCCCATCCCCAGCCTGAAGGAGAAGCGGGGAGAGGGGCCTTCCTGGGGCTGTGGAGGAGAGGAGGCCCCCTGGTAGGACACGGCCAGGAAGGGCCCCATCCATGATGCCACGGCGGGGAGGAAACAGGGGATAAGTACCCCCGCCTCTCACTCCCCAGCCCCGCCCCCGTGTACTTTCAGTGCTTCCCGTTGGTTGGGCCTGACCAGAAGCCAGAGGGCACGAGGGCCTGAGAGCTGTGGTTTCTAGGTCAGCCTCCCCGTGCCCAGAACTGGGGGCAGAGGGGGATTCCCATCTCACCAGCTGTTCACCAAGCTGGGGACCTTCTGTCAGGAGTTCCCAGATGACCTTGTATCAGCCAGGTGACCCTGGCTGTGGTCGCCAGAGCCCAGAGGTGAACAGGAAGCAGAAGGAGGAGGCGTTTGCTCCTGGGGCAGGGCTGGTGCTGGCCTGTCCCCTCCCAAGTCTTGTAGGTCAAGCATCTAATGTGCCAGTCCCCCCGCCCCACCCCCCCATGTTCCCAACATCACAGTAGACAAGAAGGAGCCTCACAAGAGGAGGGGGCACATTCTTCCTCCCCGGGGCCTTGTGTCCAGGCAGAACTTTTGTCCAGATGGGAGGCACTGCGGCTCCAGCTCAGCACAGTCATCTCTAGCTGCACGTGGCTATTTAAATGGAAATTAACACAAATGAAATAAAATTAAAACTTCAGTTCCTCTGTGGCACCAGTCGCATTTCAGCTGCTCAGAAGCCACATGTGGTTAGTGGCCCCATGTTGGACAGAGCAGGCGGTAAACACCTGCATCGCTGCAGAACATTCTATCGGGTAGCATTGCTTAGGCCACTGAGTCTCACTTCGGACAGACTTGAGAGTCCTGGGGAGGGGCAGTCCGGCTTGAGCCGCAGTTTCCTAGGGCCCTGCCCCAGCAGTTCTGATTTAGCCAATCTGGGGCGGAGCCCAGGAACCTGCATTTTCACCAGGCTGTTCACGTGGGTCTGATGCAGGTAGTTCAGACTCTCTGGCCGTTAAAAAAGAGCGTTCGTTTTAAAACTTCACGTGCTGTGTCCCTGTTTTGAACACCCCTCAGTCTGCAGAAAGCAGAGCTTGGACATCCTTTGTCCTCACACCTGTGGGTTCGCTCGAGCCCCTGTCCCGCCGATGCTGTGGCCACGTACACGTCCCACAGGGGCATGTGGGAACAAGAGGAGGGCGGCCCTTTCCCGTGTGTTCCCTGCCTGATGCCGGCAGGGCGCCTGGCATCCCAGCCGGTTCAGTGTCCCCCTCCCACCCACCCCGGCCCCCATCCCGCAGGCCCACTTCCCCAGGTCCTGGCCGCACAAGCATGTGGCCGCCAGCGTCCCCGGGGATGCTGAGGGACCAGCTTTCGCGGGTGATGGTTGGAAAGGGAGTTCAGGGCAGAAACTTCACCCCACCCAGCCCAGGCTGACCTGAGGTTCCCTGGGAGGGTGGGAAGGAGGGAACTGGGTGGGAACGATGCTCTCCATCTGGGGGGAGCTTGCGGTAGTCGGTTGGGGAGAGGCAGCAGAGCAGGGGTGGGGTTCCTGCCAGGAGAAACCCTGCCTGGGCTCTGCCAGTGCTGTGTATCTCGGGCAGCCGAGGAGGTCGGGAGGTGAAGGTGCTGGAGCCGAGGGTCAGGGCCCTGCCCCCGCTGCGCTTCCCTGCCCCTGTTGGGAATCCCCAGCACTGAATGGAGAGCCTGGATGTGGGAGGTTGGGCAGCGGAGCCTTTGAACCGGCTGACCTTGGCCGGGCTGGACCCTCGCCTGCCTCCGGAGATGGGTAATTAATCGCCAGTAATGGGCTGGCTGCAGAGATTTGGGAAATGAGTCCAGCTGAATGGCGGCTCACAGCCTCTTAATAGCCATCCTGATGCATTAGGAGCGAGCCCGCCCGACTCCTGCTGAGCATGGGGCTGGGCAGGCTTGGTCCCCAGTGGGCACGCTTGAAGGAGCTGGATCCAGGACTGGGGGTGGGTGGCGGCCGAGGAAATGGTTCTGCAGCCTCACCGGGCCCCCCCAGAGCAAGGCAGCTCCCCACCCCCACCCCGCGTGCCCTCTGAAGCTGGAGGGCCAGGCCCCGTCTCCTGAGGTAGTCCGGCCCAGCTGGGCTGCACATCTTTCTTGCGGTATTTTATGGCACTTGCATTTCCAAGTGGAAGATTCATTGCTCCCCTCTTTCTGCAGATAAGGTGGCTGCTGCTCTCTGCATTTAATTTAACAGCCCTGCCCACCATAAAGCTCTCTGGGGCCGCCTTTAAATTCCCCCTTCCCCTGCACGGGCTATTATTATCTTTTAACTCATCATCCACTTTCTCTCTGGTTTTGCGTTTCTCCTGTCGTGCCCGGAATACCCCTATCCTCTGCTCTCCACCTGGCTCCCCGGTGCTGGCGCAAGCGCCCCCCCCCCCCCCCCCCCCCCTTCCCCGCTGTCTTGTGCTTTCCAACCGGAGCCCTCTGCGTCTCCGTTTCCCTCCAGAACCTGGAGAAGCAGATGCGCCAGCTGGCCGTGATCCCACCGATGCTGTACGACGCCGACCAGCAGCGAATCAAGTTCATCAACATGAACGGGCTCATGGACGACCCCATGAAGGTGTACAAAGACCGCCAGGTCATGAACTTGTGGAGCGAGCAGGAGAAGGAGACCTTCCGGGAGAAGTGAGTCCCCGTCACTGGGGGGCGGGCCTGGCCGGGCCACCCTCCCCTGTCCCGGGAAACCCGTCCTGTTGAGTCTTGTGTTGGCTTCCTAGGGCTGCCACGACACATGACCACCAGCCGCGTGACTTTAAACACCAAGAATCTATCCTCACGCAGTTCTGGGGGCTGGAAGTCCAAGATCAAGGTGTGGTCTGGGGTGGTTCCTTCTGAAGGCTCCAGGGGAGAGTCTGTCCCAGGTCTCGTGCCTGGCTGGCACCTGCTGGTGGCTGGCAATCTTTGTCATCCCTCGGCCTGGAGATGGATCTCACCGTCTCATTGTGTCTTCACGTGGTCTTGTTTCCTGTGTGTCTCTGTGTGTCTTCTCCTTTTCCTATAAATTCACCAGTCACATTGGATTCAGGGCCCACCCTACTCCAGCATGACCTCATCTTAACTAATTATATCCTCAAAGGACTCATTTCCAAATAAGGTCACCTTCTGAGGTGCTGGGAGGACATGATATTGGGGGGGGACACTATTCAAACCAGTACAAAGTGTCAAGGCAGTTTCATGTGAAATGGGGCAGTGTGTGTCAGAAGAACAAGGCAGGAGGGCCTTCGAGGCTGGGCTGAAGCCGTGGGCGGGGTTATGTGGCTGCCGGTGACTTTTCGGTTTTCATTTTACTTGGAAAGCGGCTATTTGTGGAGCGCATCCTTCATCACAGACGCTGGACAGATGTTTTCTGGGGTTTGTGCATTTGTCCCCCTTATCCCTCATCACAGCGTTACCAGGCCATCCCCATTACGCACATGAGGAAACAGAGGCTCAGAGAGGTTAAGACACTTAACAAAGGTCACACAGCTTGCAAATGGTGGAGGCAGGATTCAGACTCCCCCAGCTTCGGGGCAAGGGCTCAGCTGCAATGGAGAGGCTTGTCGGGGGAGAGGGGGCTATGGAGCCAGGGAGCAGGGTGGGGGGGGCCTTTGGAAAGCAGAGGCAGGAACTGGATGCTAAGAGGTGAAGCTTGGGGCTTCTTCTAAAATGAAAGAGCAGAATGACTGTTTTGGGGAGACGAGTGAGGAACCAGATGGAGAAAGCGCTCCTTTCCCCCACCAGACTCAAAATGTGTGTCCCAGGGAACCACATCCTGGGCACAGAGCGCCTCCTCAGGACCCAGGACCCCCATAAGGCAAGAGGGTGGGAAACTGAGGCGGAGGCCTCAGCGCTCAGCCAGGAGGGCATGGGGGACTCAGCCTCGGGGCGTCCACGTTCACCTCCACCTCCTGAGAAGGCCTCAGATTTTCTTCAAAAGAGGTGTCCCAAGTTCTCCAGCCACCCACTGCGGGGCCAGGCCGCAGGGGCTGGGGCTGTCTCTGCCCTTTGCAGAGCTGGGTGGCCCCAAAGCGCCAGACCGGGCTTCAGGGACGGGGATGGCTCTGGGTCGTGGGCAAGGCTGGGGTGCATCAGCCAGGGCAGACACCAGGACTTGGAAATGCAGGAGGAGCGACTGAAGAGGGTCTTGAGTGGAAAGTTTTTGTTTGTTTGTTTAAATGGCTTTTGATTATGGAAATTCTAAAACATACATAAAAACAGAGGGACGGTGTAATAATGCACCTTCGAGCGCCTAACACAGATGCAGCGACCTTCCACAGGAAATAGCGCTTTGGGGAGCAATTCCTGCCGTGTGTTTGGGGTTTACTGCTCAGAGGCAGGAAACGCAGGTAGTTAGCGGCTCATTTCTAGTTCCTCACGGTCACAGACGTCAAATCAAGTCGTCCCGTATCTGGTGTTGTACAATTTAAAAACCAGTGAAGTGACTGTAGGATGGTCATGGATGCTAAGAATTACTGTTGCATTAGGTATTTAAATTCCTCCTGGTATGTTTGATATTTTATTTATTTATGCCTCCTTTTAAAAAAAAGAGGTTTCTGGGAGTGCTTTCTGTGTTTTGGCCTTTCTGGATTTTTCATGTTGCTGTTCCGACCTAAGGATTTCACGCTGTTAGTCCAGTAGCTGCAGAATGGGGGCCCCAGGCTGGGCTGATGTCTGCTGAGACCCAGTTTGGCACCTTGAGTCTTTCAAGATCCTGGGTGACCTCTCGTTTTCAGCGGAACTGATAGCACTCAGGGCCTCGGAAAATCACGTGCTGGTGGCGTAGAGTTCCATCACTTACTGTTTTTGTGACTTCGAGCAGCCACTTCCCCTCCCTGAGCCTCAGTCTCCACGTCTGTAAAATGGGTGTAGCCTCAGTGCCTCCTCGCTTAGCCGTCTGGAGGTACCCAGTGTCACAGTAAACTCTCAGGAAACATGGCAGAGGACCCAGGTGTAGGTTGGAGGGAGGTGGAACAGGTGACCTAAGAGATTCCCAAGTGTGCTTCTGGGTCTCCTGGGGCCCCATCTCTGCGTGGGGAAACCCCAAGGAAGGGATCTGTGGGGAAGGAAGTGTCACTGGGGCAGGGAGAGGGAGGAGAAGGGAAGACTGTCTGTCTGGAAAATCAGGGCGTTAGGCCGCCTCCAGCTTTGCGAGCTGCCCGAGGCAGGATCCCAGGCTGGGAAGCCTGCCTCTGACTCGCGGCTGCCTCTGACTCGCGGCTTCCTCTGGGAAAAGAGAAGAGGCCGCTCTGGCTTCTCCAGTGTCTGGTTGGGGAGCAGGGGAGGGACACACTGGCCTCCTGCCCAGCCATCTGGAGGGCTGGGCAGGACCATCGCCAGCGCTGGCCCAGGCTCCCTCCGGCGGCGGCGGGGGGGTGGGGGGACCCCGGGGCCCCTGCGTCCCCAGCAGACTCTCCTCTCCCCAGGGAGGCCGCGGGGCGGTGGCGCGTCTTGGGGACGGGCGGGCCGAGGCTCCACCCAGCATCCCCGGGGCCCCAGCAGCCGTGACCCACATCTCCGCCCCCGCTGTCCGCCTGCTCCTGTGGCCCTGACATTTCAGTCTGGCCCAGCTCTTTCCCAGTAATTCTCCCTGTTTCGCAGGAAGCCAGTTGGTGGGGTGCCAGCTCCCCGCCACCCCTCCAGCTTGGGTCCCTTCCTTCCGCCTTCTGGGCCGGCTTGCCTGCCTCCTGGCGGGCACTCGAAGCCTCTGCGCTCACCTCTCAGGGTCCTGCCCCGCGACCTCGCCCGTGGCGGCCCCGCGTGGGCCAGGCGAGGCCCAGCTTCCCAGGCCCAGCCGGAGACAGAAACAAAGGCAGAGTGTAAAAGGGGGGGAACCCCACCGAAGGGCTGCATGTCATGTCCTCATTTTTCCTGGAACCCGCCTCCAGCAGGACAAACAAATGTATTTTCAAAGGCGCTAAAACCAGTGACTCACTCCAAGGAACGCCCTCTCTTAGCCCTCAGTCCCGCCTGCCGCGGCCCTTCCCACACCCCCCTGGGCTTAATTGCTCTGAGCGGGGCGGTGCTGGGCCAGCGGAGATGGCAGGCTCCCTGGAGCTCGGCGGCCGCCCAGCTGGGCAGCCCTCCTCGGCCTGGTCTCAGGCCCGCCCTTCTCTCCCCGCAGATTCATGCAGCACCCCAAGAACTTCGGCCTGATCGCATCGTTCCTGGAGAGGAAGGTGAGTCTGCCCACCGGCCCAGCGCCACCCGCCCCGTTCCCCTCTGGGGGCCACTCCTGGGGGCAGCCAGCCGCTTGGGCTGGGCCGCAGGACCCTCCCTCCCTACCCACGAGGCCTCTGCCTGCTGGCCCCGTGCTCTCCTTGCTGTGTCAGACGGCACTTCCCTCCTTCCTCCCTCCTGGGAGCAGCAACTGCAGGCCCCGCCCCCTTCTCCCAGGGCGGAGCTCCAGGCTGGGAAACCCCAGGAGAGCTGTGTGCACCAGCTCCTCAGACGTGGCAGCAAGCATCCTGGCAGACTGGACATGGGTTCTGGAAGCCATGCCATGCCTGGCACCCTAATTAAGGCTTTATAGGCAAGAGTGGCGATCTTCCAGGGCGCTGGATGGAATGACCTTTCTAGGTCCCTCTGATGGTCACTGTACCCTGACACCCCTGATGGGAAGCCAGGCGTGTGGCTGGCGTGTGGTTTATCCTCATCCCCTTTTCGTAGAGCTGAGGCTTGAGCTCCGCCTTGCCCCCACACCCAGCCTGGAGCGGTGCCTCTTTCTGCTCAGGCTCCCTGTTGGCAGGTGGACACAAAGCGTCCCAGGAAACGGTAAAGCCCCCTTTTGTGTACCCACGAGGCTAGGCTGGGCAGCGGCCGCAGGTAGGAGGGAGCCGGTCTGGGGGGCTGGATGTGGCCCTGTGTCAGAGTCGCCCGCTGGACCCCAGCATCATCAGGGCGGAGCCAGACAAGCTTCCTGAAAAGGTTTACTTTCTGGGGCTGCTGTTCCGGGTGTTTAAAGCAGCGTTTCGCCGAATCTCATCTCTCAGACGGGGTGTCTGCCCACTCCCGGCTTTGCAAATACCATGCTACTGGAGGCCTCATGCTTCCTCGCTGGGGAGGGCGGTGGGAACCGGATCCAGGCGGGTATCTTAAAGGGTAACAGTTGTTCTCAGCGTCTGCCCTCAATGAGCCGATACCCGTAGAAGGAGGGAGATGGGGCAGCGTGGGGAAGCGAAATCTCTCCCGGCCTGAAAATCCAGTGTGGAGAGGCGAGCTCTATAAATAGCCTCTCCTCTGAGTTAGCGACAGCTTCTTACTAGGGGTGTGGACAACCCAGGAGACTCCAGGTCGGGGCTCCCCGGAGACAGAAGCAGGGGTTTCAGAAATTGGCAGTTGAGCAGAACTGTTTGAACGAGGGAATCAGAGGTCTCTACGCTGGAGAATAAACTTTACGGTGTTCTTTGGCTAAGAGGCAGCCCAAGCTGAGACTTAAATAGAGCTTCCAGGAGGGTCTGAAGCTGGGGCCGCCAGCTGTGCCTTTGGGGATTGGCGGTTCCTGGTGGTAAGTGAGGCCAACAGCAGGGTGGAGCTCGGTGGACTGGCCCGCCCGTGCCTGTCTGCAGGGCAAGTGATGCTTGGGGCCAGCCCGTGGCCGCCCAGCCCAGGAAGGCAGCCTCCTGAGTTGCCCGAGGGGAAGTCAGACACCCACACCCCCCGCTTGCAGGTATTGGCATCTGATTATAAAATGTTCTCCTTAACCGTTTTGCGGGCCGTGCTTGTGGTCCGGTTGAACTGTTCACAGTCCATTCTAGGAAGTGGATGAGGACGCAGGGGGTTTGAGGCCCAGCCGTCCTCTGCACCCAGCGGCCCTCACGATTGCCCCTCAGAGGCCAGTTCCGGGCTTGGCACCAGCACCGAGCATCACAGAAACATTTTACCTTATCTCAGTAACAGCTGCTGGCATTGGCGAGCCGTCACCTGGACTGGGCCCCGTGGCCGCAGGTGGCGGCATCGTCGTCTTCTGTCCTTCAGTTGCTCTCTGAGGGCGATGCCCTCTTACTGGTCCCATTTGGACGAGGAGGTGGTGGGGTTCCAAGAGCGCCAGTCATTTGCTCAGCAAGTGGCGGTGCCAGGATTCAGACCCCGGTCCGCGGGGCAAAGACCGAAGCAGAGAAAAGACATAAATGTCCCAAGAGACGAAGAGTTGCGTGGCGACATTAGGCTGGATGCACGAAGCTTGGAAGAGGTTACTCAGGCCCCTAAATGTTAGGGAGGAGCAATCTAGGGTGAGCGAACGGACCCGAGCTGGGGAGCCGGAGGCGTTGTTCTCTGGGGCTGGCATGGCAGGTGACAGCTTCGTCCTTACGACTGCCAGTAGCACCAGCCACAATGCGAAGAGGTTAACACCTCTGCAGGGTGTGTTCTGTGGCCCTAAGTCCTTTACACGTATGTGTATTAACTTACTTGGTCTTCATGACAACCCTGTGAAATACGTGCTGTTAGTACCCCTACTACACAGGTGAGAAAACCGAGGCCCAGAGAGGTTAGGTAAGCTGGCCAGGGTCACCCAGCCAGTACCTGGAGGAGGCAGGATTGGAACCCAGGCCTCTGGCTCCCGGCCTCCTGCTCTGACCGCCTGCACTGCACACGCCTCAGAGTTCTTTTCTCTCTCCATCCTGCAGACGGTGGCTGAGTGTGTCCTCTATTACTACCTGACCAAGAAGAATGAGAACTACAAGAGCCTGGTGAGGCGCAGCTACCGGCGCCGCGGCAAGGGCCAGGTGAGGAGGGGGCGGGGCGGGCTCCCGGGCGGGCTCCCGGCATGCTCGGGGGCAGCGTGCGGTGACATCTTCTCGTGTTTCTCAGCAGCGGGTCCCTCAGTTTGGGCCCCTTCCGTGGCGGCTGGGAGACCCTCTCTGGGGGGTGTTGCTCCTATCCTAGCAGCAGAGAAGAGACCTGGGAGAAATGGCTGCTTCCACCCTCAGCCTGGAAAATTCTAGAACTCCAGGCTTGGTGACCCTGTCACCATCCCTGTGGTGGATTAGGGTCGCATCCCCAGAGCAAGGGCCGGGCTTCCAGGATGACTTGGGCTGGTCTACAGACTTAACATTTAAAATTTAGAAAGAATTTTTGGTGTTTTGGCGTAATGCGTATGTGAAAGAAAAAAACAGCCAGTACTTTAGAGTGCCGTTTTTCAGACATCAGTGCTTCAGATATGACTGAAGGATGATTTAAGTTAGAGCAGGACTTGGCAAACTATGGCTCACGGGTGAGTCCAGCCTGCCACCTGTTTTTGTGAATAAAGTTTTATTGGCACCCGGCCATGCCCATTCGTTGACATATTACTGTGGCAGCTTTTCTGTTACAACAGCAGAGTTGGGTAGTCCTGACAGAAACTGCAAAGCCTGACATATTCACTATCTGGTCCTTTATAGAAAAAGTCTGCTGACCTCTGAGTTAGACGAAAAGGGAATTCGTTTAAAAAAAGATTCTGTAAATTATGTTAAAGATGAAGGGGGTCAGTGGCACACATTTTAAAGGAGGCTCGCGAGTGTTTTGGTGTTGGGGAGATGGAGGGAAGGGGAGGGATTTGTTTCACGTCCAGGCTGTTAAGAATCAGCCCAGAACAGATGCTGGGACTACGGGGGTGAGAGGGGGAGTGGGCTTGTGCTGCAGGCGGAGGGATGCGGGCCGGAAGCTGCAGAAGCTCTGGGCACTGCTGTTAGATGCCGGACTGGAGGGGATCGAGGCAGGCCCTTCCCTGGGGCCTCTGGCGTGGGGGACCGGACAGGGGAAAGGGACGAAGGCCGGGATTAGCATGTGCTGGGAGGACAGGACACAGAGGTTCTCTCAGGTGGGTGGTCCCTGTCATTGGCGTCTTCCAGCCCAGACCCCCACCCCTACCCCAGGGCCACCGTCTTCCCTTCCCGAGGCTGGAGAGAGCCGGACCCTGAGAGCATCAAGTCCAGCCATCACCCGTGGGGTCCCAGTGTCCCCTGTGAAACTGTCACTCTATGATCAAGCCCCATAGCCTACGATGGGTTGGTCCACGCAGCTTCCTAGCCTGCATCCCGTGTCTCCTTTCTTGCTTTCTGGGAACTTTGCTTCAGGAGTACAGACCCACTTTTCTGTTGGCTAAGCCACATATAATTAAGGAAGCAAATCTGCTGACGGGAGAGTAAACCCCTCACTGCATTCTGCATGTCAGGCCAAGGTGATTGAGACTGAGCATTGGTTGTCATTGGCCTGGATCATTGAAGGGTGGCTGCGTTTGGTTTGTGGATAGGGTTTTCCTCTAGTTTTGTGCAGCCACCGTTGGCCAGCCTGCTCGCCCATCTAACAGATGTGTAAAACCAAGGCCTACTGGCTTGGCGCTATTCAGTTGTAAAGACCTAGCTGTGGCGTGTTAGAAGTTGAAGTGCATTTAGGAATTTGTCTAGACCGAGATGCAGAAACTCAAATAAATGCCGGGGCAGGGAGCATAAATGTGTCAGCATAAGAGGCAGTAAGGAGGGCGTGGCGTGGACTGTGGCAAAATAAAGGGGGAGATAAAGGCCTCTAGACTGATTTTAAAAACGTTGTCAGCTGTTTGTTGAGCATCTCCTGTGTGCCAGTTCTCTTGCTCGTCTTCCCAGTGCCTCCCGATTCCCTGCCTTCGTGGGGGCCCTGTGGGTGGGCTTATGAGGGCCTTGCTGGTGGCTGGGCTGGGGGCTCTGGAGATGAAAGGGTTCTGAGTCAGATGGGGAGAGATTGGGCCATTCTCACCCTGTGCTGAGAGCCACATTTGTGTGGAGGGAGGCAAAGACTGTGTGCTGACGTCATTTAGGGAGGGGCTATCTCCAGATGAGTCCTGGGGAGTGGGGGGGCCGTTGGTGCCCCCTGCCCCTGGTCCTGGCTGCCATGCCTCCCACTTCACGGTGTTAATGCCTTGCTAGCTGACTCATCTGCCCGTCAGACATTTGTGTGCTGACACAGGGGACTCTGCTCGTTGTCTAGACCAGGTGTACACAGGTGGTTCCGAGTCAGCATGTCGGTGGTCTGCCTGAGAGGCTCCATCGAGTAAGGGACCCCAAAGATGAGGTTGAGGAACGCCTCTTGGGAGGACGAGGACAGAGGTGAGGGTGTCCTGGGCAGAGGGAACAGCAGGTGGAAAAGCGCCAGGACACGAGAGAGTGCACAGTACCCTTAGAGTCTTAGGAGCAGGGGTCTCAATACCTTCCAGGGTCTTACATGAATGAAGGGATGGAGAATCCATAGGAGGCAATAGGGAGTGGTGAGGCCCAGGGCTAACTAGAGAGCTTGTGCCTCATATCAGCTCCAGCTGACTCTTGACTACCTGGCCCTGTATTACCAGATCGGATTTTTGATGATGAGCTGGAGATAGGGAATTATATGAAGTTGCCTGACTTTTAAATCTTAGGTCGCGTAGGAACCAGTAACGACGAAGCACCGGACAGGCTGGGCAGCTCACATTTGCTCTCGAAATCTGTCCTCAGCCCTCAGTATAAGGCCTCTGGGCTGGAGTATGGTAAGGCTGAGGGAAGAGGTAGGGAGAGGATTATGTGACTAGGGACAGAGTCCAGGGAGTGTTTTATAGCAGAGGAGAAGCGTTGGCTTCGTATTTTCATCTGAGCTGTCCTGGGTCAGCTGTGGCGTCCACAATGCTGAGAGACGTGGGGCTTGTCTGGTGAGGTTTAACGATCGGCTCAAGCTGGCGTCTCAGGCTGAGGCTCCCAGGATGGAGCAGGGATGCCTCTGTGCCCTGCCTCTTGCAGAAGGAGAGAAGAAGGCAGGGCACGAGGCCCCTGTCTCCTTGGGAGATGGGACGTATCTTTGGGGCTCTCCCCTCCCTCTCATCGGCTGTGGCTGCGAAGAGGTGCCATGTGACCCGGGCCCTGCCGGGGACGGAAATTAACGCGTAAACCCTGGAAGGACTCCTGTACCAGGCAGATCCGCTGCCCTCACCACCGCCTGCCAGCCCTGTTCATAAATATGGAATAAGTGGGTCAACCCAAGTGTTGACTTTGTGGCCGTAACTCTTCCCTCTGCCCCGTGACAGCAAAGTAAACGGCAGACGCACCAACCCCGCAGCCCCTCTTGGTAGTTCAAGGTGCAGTTGCTGCAGCGGGCCTGCTGTGATAAAACCTGTGATCCTGCTGATAAATCTCCCAGTGAGACGGGTAGGGGTTCCCCAGCCTGGCACGGAGTGGGTGTGGGTGTATGTGCTTGGGCGCCTACACGTGGATGGACGGATGGGCACCGGCGGTGGCGGCCCCCCGTGGGCTGATACTGCGAGCAGATGGCGGTCGGGCGTGAGGCAGGCAGAGACCCTCTGCTCTGTGAAGCCGGAAAAGCCAGGTGGGAATGAGCCTGGAGAGCGATCCACCGCTGGGGGGGGAGCAGTCAGCCTCGGAGGCATAGCAGGCGCCCAGGTGACAGCTCTGCTGTCCCATCCTTGTGTCCGATCCATCCTTGGCCCGCCTCTGGCAGCTCAGAACCCTGGGACAGGCTGTGATCCTCACGTGGTTCCCGTGGCTCCGGCCACACCGAGGCTGAGAATGGCCACACGGCACCGCTCAGCTTGTCAGCCCAACAGATGCCCCTCGGATGGGCCCCTCCCGCTTCACTTCTCTAAGGTTGACCCCCACTCACCTCCACAGAGGCGTCGGATGCACGATATTGTGTGGTCATGCAGCGGACAATTATTGAGTGCCTACTGCATGCCAGGGCTGTAAAGCTTCTCCTTGAGAGCTGCACGAGACCACGATCCTTCAGGAAGCTAGAGAGAGGGTGTCAGCCGAGCCCAGCTGTCTCGGCGTCTCACAGCCCGTCCCGATTAAGAGCCTCTGAGGTAGACGTGAGGTGGGACTTCCGAGGTGTCAGCGAGCGGGGCCCTTCTCCAGGCTGCCGCCTTGTAGAAGGTGCATTTCCTGAGTTGGCTGGACACGGCCCAGGGCCAGAGACAGAGGGGTACCCACCTGCCACCAGCACCCCTCCCCTGGTCATTCCTGCCATGGTGATGAGGGGAGGCTGTCTCGGGCTCCAGGCTCAAACCCCCAAGTCTGGGGAGGAGGGGAACCCACGGTGGGAAGTTATTCTCCCCAGGTCGTAGGCCTTCTACCTTCTCCCGATACCACCATCCACTCCAGATTGGCCCTGGCCAGTGTCCTTGGGCTGTGCCCTCCTGGGGTCCAGGGAGGGACGTGTCTCAGGCTGAGATGGAGCTGGCGTCCAGCTGAAGTTCTTGAACTTTCACCAGGAGGATTTGTGAAAACACAGACTGCTGGGTGGCGCCCCTCAGTGGGGCTTGAGAATCTGCATTTCTAACAAGTGCCCTGGCAGTATTGCTGCCGAACCTCGGCCTTAGGGGTGTTTACTGGGGAGTCCCCACCTGCCAAGGAAGGGGAGGGAAGGGAGCAGAGTAGCAGAAGGGGCAATCGAGGCAGGGCACAGGCTCAACGGCAGCCTGGACCAACCCTGGGGGCGGTGCTCTGGCACTGGAATGGCCCTTCCCAGGTGGGCAGAGGGGGCCAGGTCTTAGCCCAGGGGCCATAGAGGCTGAGGGCGTTCGTAGCGGCTGAGGCCCCTTCTAGAAAGGGACCTGGCCAGTCCATCCTGGGGACGAATCCTGCATGTTTGCATGTTTGCAAACTCCACTCTACGGCAGTCCTGACCTGCCCCAGTGCTTAAGCAGAGTGGGCAGCAAGATGTCACCTCGTGTGTTCGGGTGACACACGCCCCGTCGCGGCCTCACCACACCCTGTGCTGAGCCCCTTGTTCGTCATTGCTGTGGTTGCCTTTCGAAAGCATGGATGATTAGGAAAGGGGATATAAAATTCCTGCATGAAAAGCGTCGGCCGTCTGATGTGTCTGGTCTCAGACCCTCGATGACCCGAGAGGGCAAGGCCACCCTGGCGTCCTCTGTGCTGCTGCCTGGCCCTGCCGTGGCTGGGACACGTGTTGGCCATTTGGAGTGTCAGGATGCCCTTCTTGTTTAAGAGAGGATGCCACCCACTTTCCAGAAGCTTCCCCGTATTCTGACAGAGGGAGACGCAGGAATTCTAGCCCCCTCACGCCCACCCCCTGCCAGCCGTGCACACCTGGGCTTCGGCAGGAGGGGGCCGAGCCCTCACCTCCTGGACCCCAGCCCCCGAGATCCGGCTGTGAGTGGCTGGTGAGCGTGTGGGTGGTGCCCCAGCGCCCTCTCCTCGAGGTGAATCACCGGCCGAGCCGGGGGCCAGCTTGGAGCACCGGTGACGGCACAGCAGTTTATAGTTCATGATTCATGGATGGAGGGGCCACATTATCCCAGCTAATTGCAGCACTGGAACCCAGGAATGCTGCGGTCAGAAGTCGGCTTAACTATGCAAACTGTCGGGGAACCGAGGCTGTGAGGCCAGCACGGCCCAGGCAGCACAGCCCAGCTCCGCAGCAGTGACCGGGGGTGGCCACGTGGCCCTCCTGGCGATGGGGGGGCCATGCTGCGGAGGGGGCTGTCCCCGAGGGTGAGTGCCCCTGCTTCCATCCTCCAGGGTGATGCGGCCGCAGAGGGGAGGGGTCCCAGCTGGGAGCTGCGCCGGTTGGGGTCTCCTCCTCGAGGCCACATGGGCTGTCTTCTCTTCCCACGGAGATGGGCACGGGGACAGGGCGCCCAGCCTCCCACTCCTGGGGGGTCATGGGGGAAGTCCAGGGAGGTGGGGCCTGCTCCTCCCCCACCTCTGGCCTGCAGGCCCCCTTCCCACATCTCTCCTGCAGGCCCCCTTCCCCCATCTCTCCTGCAGGCCCCCTTCCCCCCATCCATCCTGTCTCTGTCTGTGTCCCCCGCACCCACCCTCCTTCATCTTCCCTCCCCTCCCCCGCCTCCCCTCCCAGCTCCCTGTCGAGGGACAGGTGACCTTGTTCCCAGTTGCTCTGTACTCCAGAGACTCCCGCGCCTCAGGCAGCTTGCACAGGGGACAGCGTGACCGGAAGGCATTCCAGGCCAGGGCTGGCCAAGCGCAGCCCCCAGGGGGAGGGGCAGCCACCGTGCAGTCAGTGCCGGTTCCCAGACCCTGGCCGCCCCCCTGGGCCTGTGAAATCTACGGAGGGGCCGCGTAGCAGGCCCCAGACTGGGCTGAGCTTGTCCCTGCCTGCTGGGTGAGCGCGAGCGTGCTTGCCCCAAACCGCCACCCTGGCCGGGTGGGCCTCCAGCTTGGGGGTCCGTTGGACTTTCCCGGGCCGCCCAGGCCTGAGGGAGGCAGCCGCTTCCGCTCCGCTGGGGACGGGATTGTGTCCAGATTTAGGGCTCCAGCAAGCAGATGTCCCTGATTCCCTGCCCAGTTTTGTGCTAAGTGGGCAGGGACCTATGGGAGGCTCGTCTAGGCCCACAGTCTCCCAGACACATCCCGGGGGACGCAGTTCTCAGGAAGGCCAGGCCCCAGGGACCCAGCAAGCTGGGCTGCCGTTTTGGGAGACGAGAGACACGGCCTTCTCATGGGCTGTGATGCAGTGGCGGGGGAGACCCAGCTCCCCGTCGGCACCGTCTGAGGCGCACCACACCAAAGGGACAGGAGGACGTGGAAAATGTGAGTGTGAATCAGTCAGACCCCAGGAGGCGAGAGGCTGTGTGGGGCTGACAGACCTCCCATCCAAGCGTTTCGAGCTCGGCTGCCAAGAATCAGGAAATAGTTACCAGAAGAGCAGCATTCGTGTGGCCTGGGCCAGCTCCGGCCACAACAGGAGGGGGCCCCGGGGGAGGGCAGGCGGTGACCAAGTTCAGGCGTGTTTTGTCCTTCCATCACAACGTCACCATTCTAGGTGATGCCCCAGTGAACAGGACAGACGAGGTCCCCAGAGCTGTCACGTCCACGTGGGAGACGGACAGTGCACAAGTAAATTAGCGTGGTTCTTTCAGGTGGTAGCAACGCTTACAGACGGTAAGCTGCGGTCAGGAGGCGGTTGACAGGAGAGAGGGCAGCTTTTAGGGAGCAGACTCTGAAGGCTTCTCGGAGGAGGGATCCTTTGGGCTCCGACCTCAGCGATAAGAAGGAACTGGTCAGGCAGAGCTGGAGGGAGAGTCTCCCAGGCAGAGGACACAGTGAGTGCAAAGGCCCTGAGGCAGGAACAAGTGTGGCACCTTGCAGGAGGAGAAGGTGGGGATTAGGGAGGTAGGTGAGGTGGGCAGGGGGTAGATCGCCCAGCCTTGTGCCGTGGACCACTGATTTTATTCCAAGGAGCGGGACAGGATCTACTGACAGTAAAACAGAGCCTTAGCTGCCTCAAGCAGCCATCTCCTTGCAGGCAGAACAGACGTCACAGGCGAGGGTGCTGAACGTTGCTCAGGTTCTGGGGACACGTCTGTGTGCAGTGGAGCGCTGGTGAGTGTCTAACAGCCAGCTTTCAGGGGGCGAAGCCCCGACTGTAGCGCGTGCCAATTACCATGGTGTAAATGCTCCCATCATGCTGATTCCAAGCTACCCCCTGAACGTGGAATTGGGAAGGGGGGCGTGCATAGCGCCTCGGGGGATGGGACCGCATCCTACTTGTGCCGTGTGGATGCAGTGGCATACGAGAGCACAGATAACAGCCAAATGGAGTCAAGTAATTGGGAAGGGATGCATTTTGAGTACTTAACTACCATTGTTTTTATGATAATTTCTTTAATTGTAAAGTTGTGCGTTTCCATTTTTAATAATGGCTGTTTTTAACAACTAACCTGCAAAATTCATGGAAACTGAAGTCTGCACTCGTGAGCTGGTACGCGCTGGCCCAACACACCTGTATCTGTGTGTCTTATAAAGGACTCCCTTCACGGGCCAAGGCGGCATCCCCTGCCTGCCTTTTCCTTCCAGGAAGACACGTGAACTGGATCAGAATGGTGGGGGCCGAATGTCAGGGAGGGGCTGCCAGCAACAGAAAACTCTTGTGTCTTGGTCCTGACCCCTGACCCCACTCCTCCCACCAACCTTGGGCTCCTGCGATCTCCCTTCCCCCACTGCCAAGAGATAGGGTGTCTCGAGGGCAGCCCCCACCTGGATTTGCTCACTGGAGGCACTTGGCACGTAGTACATGCTCAGCAGAGTGTTTGTTGAATGAATGAGTGAGATTGTGCCGCAGTCGGTGTTGATGGGTGTCAGGAAGGTCTCATCAGGCATTTAGAGGACCCGTCGTCATCTGAGCACTAAACCTCACCAGCTCCTCCCTGGATGGTTGGTACCACCTTTTCACTGGACTCTCTCCTCTCATTCCTGGAACCAATGGTCACCCCTTGACCCGCTGCCACATCGCCCTAAAACACGGCGTGGAACACATCAATCCTGCCCACCCTCCACCTTCTGACAAAAGCCCTCAGTGGCTGTGCACAGCTGTCAGGGCACCTCCCGCATTTCTGAGCACGGGCGTTAAAGCCAGTCCAGCTCTGCAGCCAAGTCCAGTATGTCATTCTCTAAGGACCGTGGGCGATTTCACGTCGGCATGCTTTTGCCCGAAGAAGTCCGCTCCCTGAAACGTCCCCTCTCATCCTTCTCCGCCAAAAGCCTTTGGAGGTTCAGCTCGGAGGCCTCCTACCTCATCCCCGCTGGTCAGGACGAATCACTGTCACACCTGCCATGTGCTGGGCCTTTTTAAAGTTTTCTTGTCCCTGCAACCTCCATCGGTCCTGTCCTAGCTCCGGAAGGTCGGGGACTGTATTTTCTGTGAGCGTGCTTGTGGAGGGAATGAACAGTTTGGCTTAAACGGGGGTGAAGAGGGGCCTGTGATTCCCCAGGGTGAGAGACAGAGCACCTGCCTGTAGGATCTTGCTAGGAAATGCTGTGTGACCTTCGGCGGGTTAACCCCTCTGTGTCTTTGTATGCTCTTCTATAAAACAGAGATAATGCCAGTGTTGTTGGGAGGATTTTATTAACTGCAGGTATCAAATGAGGAGGAGAAAGCCTCGTCACATGTTCGTGGTACTTCATCAGCATTTGTTGTTTTTATTCATATCATTTTCTGCACGGCTCCCAGCCAGTCTGGGGCTTCAGCACAGAGCACGCTCAGTCTGTCCAGCACTCAGCGCTCCGGAAGTAGGGGTCCCTCGGGGATTTGAACTGATGGCTCTGGCTAACCATAGATCCGGGCAGGTTTTCCTCAGAGCTGTGCTGTGGTTTGGGAGGGACGTTCACGACCGAGCACTGGGCACGAAGCCCATTGTCGGCGTGACCGATGGCATGTCTGGAAAGCAAAGGTGAACCTCATCCTGAGCTCCGGAATCATTTGAGACGGTGGAGTCTGGCTTCTGGTTCTTCTCCCGTGTCCACAGGCATCCGCTCTGCCCGTGGCAGGGGTCCTGGACGTGTTTTGTGAAACAGGGACCCCCGGAAGCCTTGCTCCTCACGCTGTCGTCCGGCAACCAACAGTATCTGGCGTCCCTGGGAGCTACCTAGAAATAGAGGGTCTCAGGCCTGCCCCAGACCCACGGAGTGGGAATCTGCATTTTCCCAATATCCCCAGGTGGTTCGTGTGTGCATTTCATTTTGAACAGTGCTAGTCGGTAGCAGAGGTGGGCACACTATGGCCTGCAGGCCAAATCTGGCCCCCCACCTGTGTTTGTAAACGGTTTTGTTGGCGTGTAGCCATGCTCACTTGTTTACAGTTTGGCTGTTTTCAAGCTACAAACGGCAGAGTCAGTTGTTGCAAAAGAGACCGATGGACCGATGGCCCTAAAGGGTCTACCATCTAGCTCTTACAGAAAGTTGGCTGGCTCCTTGTCTTACGCTCTGGTCGTCAAACCTGGCTGCCCATGGCAATAACCTGGGAACTAAACACGCTGATTCCGGCCTCTCACCCTGAGATTCTGATGCGACTGGTGTGGGTGGGTCCTGGGCGTCGGGACTTCCCAGAGCTCCTCAGGTGATCTGTGTGTGCAGCTTTGAGAACAACGGCTTTAAATTGCCCATGCAACCCAGCAAGTGCCGTTCTGCGATCCGCGACGGGCCTGAGATCAGCAGCGGAGCCCTAGTGCGCGTGAATCGTCCCTGAGTTAGCCGTCGCTGTATCTGCTGTCCTCTGACGTCGAAGGCTTTCGGGGACAGAGGCGGCTGACCGGGGCCTGGCAGTTGGACCTCCCTCTCGCGCCGTCAATCTCCCAGAGTGAGCGGAGCATCCCCACGACAGCCGCTCACCTCCTGTGCCCACCAGGAGGCCAGGCAGGTGGTCACCATTATGCCTGACGGTCCCTCCCAGTGGAAACCACGTTTAAGACCAGGACTGACCTGGGGTTTCTCCCTTTCATCCTTTTCCACTCGCATCACTCAGCTCGGGGCACACGGACACCTCTCCAGAGGGAGGTGGAGTTCAGGCCCCAGGAAACCGGGAGCCCGTCCATGGGGTTCTGTGCCACGGCTCCAGGGTGGCTCTGAAGTCGCCGCACCCGCTTCTCCCAGAGGGTGAGGTGTGGGAGTCGCCTGCCCCTGCCCTGGAGTGTCCGGGAGAAGAAGGTCACGGGGTCTGACACTGGGATCGCGCACCTGGGTGGGACGCAACCGACGGGAATAATGACCAGGTTCTAGAGCTGACTAGGTCTTTGGACCCTCCTCACGAGACTGGGCGGAGGCAGGTGGAGGGGATGGAGATGGCAGGAGGGAGAGAGGCCTGGGTGTAACCAGGGTCAACTCAGGCTCTGGGTTTGAATCCTGGCGTTGCCGTTTCCCAGCTTTGGCAGTGCCTCAGTTTCCTCTTCTGTAAAATGGGAGCAAGATGGGGGTTGGTAAAGGAGATGAGGGAGTACATAGAACATGTGCCCGGCACATGGCACTTGGAGCTTTTTTATTATTAATGCTGTGAAGTGGGTGATTATTCAGGGGAGGGGGTCGTTATGGGCTGGCCCAGGCCCAGATCGGGACTCGAGGAATCTTGCAAGGGGGACAGGGTAGGCTAGGCAGAAAGGGGCAGGGATCCCCAGAGCGCCCCCACCTGAGGCCCCAGATGCTGACCAGGGTGTGGAGTTGGGTGAGACTCTCAGCGGGGCCTTGGGGATGACAAGATCACACCCGCTCCCCACTCTGAGACCCCCTTTTCCCTCGCTCTGAGATGGTGCAGCTTTGCCAGTCTGAACCTCAGTTTCTTCTTCTGCAGAACGGGAGCAGTGATCACTGCCCTTTTCCACCTGAGGCAGGCTAAGGGCAGTAAGTGGAATAGTATTGATATTTGCAAGGCGCTCGGCGTGCTGTGGGGGCGGAGCAGCCCCCCTGGACGACCCCCAGGTCACTGTTACTGCTGGTTTTTTCATCTTTGCCTTTATCCTCAGGACTGCAGAGGGGCTGGGAGCAGCTGGTCAATAGACTGTGCACAGCGCAGTGTCGGGCGTGTAGGAAGCTCTTGGGAAATGCTGGCATCTTCCGCAGTGGGGCTTCTTGAGGATTTGGAGGGGGACGGCGGCAGGAAGGCCCTGGGCAGGAGGGCGCAGGTGCAGACTCGCTGGGCAGCAGCCCTGGTCAGCCGTGCTGGCCGTGCCGGGGGCAGACAGTGGCCTGCTTGGCGGCCCAAGGATGAGATTCCAGGGGGCCTGGAGACCCCACCAGCCTGGACCCGGGGACCAATAACAGCTGCTCCAGGAGGGAAGCCTGGAGACGGCTGCTGGGAGGGACAGCAGGTAAAGCTTTGGAGTGAGGCTGCAGCCCAGCTGGGGGTTCTTGGCACCAATGGTGGTCTTAGGAGACGTCACGCTCCCTGCCGTTGGAAAGCCCCGGCCCTGCCCTTTCTGGCCCTGGGCGTCAGGTTCCTGGGTGTGCAGAAGCCGGGCATGTCTCACTGGTGGCCACAGCAGCCATGCCGAGCAGCCCCCTGGGAGGAGGAACCCTCCTCAGTCGGCTGTGCCATCTCCCCCGGCTCTGGGTCCTGGTCCCTGGTCCCCCTCGTCTACTCCGCCCCAGCTACCATCTGCGGGGCCAGCTCCAGCAGAGGCTCCACATGTCAGGGGTGAGAGGCGGCCACAGCTCCCTGGCTATTGGAAGTATAGTGTTTCAGGGTTTGGGGTGGTGGTGAGGGACAGGCTAGTTCAAGGACACTGGGCCACGCATCGGGAATTGACCGCAACATAGCAGGGGGTAGAGGGAGGCTGTTCCCCCCCTCCAGCCCCTCCTCTTACAGAATAGAGAGAAGGGGGCAGACCTGAGCCAGGAGGTTCCGGGGTGGACACTGCTGCAGCCTCGGGAAGCCCACGGTTCCCCGTGAATGTGCAGGCCCCCGCTGTGTGCCCCGGCGTCCACAGAATGCCTGTAGCTGGCCTCTGTGTTCAGCCGCATCGTGAGCCATAAATTAAAGCTACAGAGAGGGGCAGGGGGGGATTGGTGGTGGTGAGGTCACAGGCCAGGGCAGCCTGTGCCAGGGACTGGCTTGCGTTCCTGGTGTGGAGGAAAGATGGGGAGAAAGGGAACCGGGAACCCTCGAACCCCACCCTTACTTTCCCCGTGGGCTTTGGTTTCTTTCTCCTTGGTTGGAGAATTGGTGTGACCACGCCCCTCGGTACACACTGAAAGGCTTTGCGGCGTGTTTGTTTTCATTTCACTTGGCTCATCTTTTCCAAGGGATGGAAAGATGGTCTGGTTTGGCAGCTGCCCGCAAGGAGGACTTCGGGGTGGCCAAGAGAATCAGTGTGTGCCTTAAGAGAAATCAGGCTGGACAGAAAGGGTGACGGTGTGGGGAGGAGCTCCCACTCCCCTCCCCCCTCTCGGTGAGGGCAGTGTCAGCAGCCTGGTGCCAGCACCTGTCCCTGCCCACTTGGGAAGGAGATGAAAGGAACAGGCCTGCGGGGGTTGGGGGAGGGTGGCTGGTTTTGCTGTGAGCCCCTTTGATCTCTCCTGTCCAGCGGGGCCTGCTCTTTTCCCCTCTGAGGGCTGACTGACGTGAGAGGAAGAACAGGCCCACGGCAGCAAAAGTGGACCCTCATCATAGCAGCAACCATCCTCACACGGGCCCCCGGGGACTGGGGACAACACTTCCATCTGCCCATTTTACAGACGTGGAGACTGAGGCTTAGAGAGATGGCCTGAGCTTTGTCAGGGGCAGGCAGGCTGGGGCGTCAGGGTGTGACCCAGGTTTCCCCACGTTCACCGTGCTCTTGCCTGAAGCTGACCAGGGCCCCCTCCCTCCTGCCTTGGGGGCTTCCGCCCCACGTAAATACTGGTGCCAGATGCCAGCTCTGTAAGGGGCCTCTCATTTCAGCTTCCCCGCCCCTGGCTGAGGGGTCGGCACGATTTCAGGGGGAAGAATCAGAGCACAGAGAGGTCAAGACCCTCATCCAAGGTCACACAGTCACCAAGTGAAAGAGGCCAGGCGTCTGACACTAGCACTTTCTATACCTCACCCCGTGACTCCTGCCTCCCCGCAGTGCCCGGGGGTTTCTGCCCAGCTCACACCACGGGAGGGTGCTGGGTTCCCAGCCAAGCTCAGCCCAGGTGCGGAGGCTCACCTGTCTCACTGTTTTCCTCTCCCCCGCCCCCGCCCCCGCCCTCCCCTGGGGCCCGGCAGCAGCAGCAGATGCCCCGCAGCGGCCAGGAGGAGAAGGAGGACAAGGAGAAGGAGAAGGAGGCCGAGAAGGAGGACGAGAAGCCGGACGTGGAGGATGGCAAGGAGGAGCTGATCAAGTAAGGCTAGCGGCCGCCCGGCAGGGGCCCGGCCGCGACCCCCGGGTCGGGGGGGCATGAACGGGGCCGTGGACAGCCCCCTGGAAGGGTGTGCGCAGAGGTGGCATCTACAGATCGCCTGCCTCGAAGGGAGGCACTTTGTGCTCCGCCTGTGCCCGACAGCCCCCCTTCCGGAAGCCCGCTCTTCTCTCCTCCCGCCCGCCCGCCCTTTCTTTCTCGAAGCCTCTGGAGACCTCAGAGACTGAGAGCTCATTTGAGCTCCACTCCTGAGCGAATAAATCCAGGCAGTGACTCTGGAACTCCTTGCCTCCTCCCTCCTCGGCCGAGTCTCCTGAGATGCTGGGGGCGGGAGGGGGGGTCAGAGGCGCTCGCCGCTCCCCGAAGGAAGGACTAGGTATGCAGGCAGGCGGCGGGCCTCACCTTTAGAATGATCGCTGTCGGTGTGAGTTCTTGCAGATCAAGGCACAGCCTCGCCTGGGGTGGGGGGGCCCCCCACCGGCAGCCTCCCGTGCCTGCCAGGGGCGGGAGCACAGCCAGCTGGAGATTCACTCCGAGGAAGGGGGGGCAGTGGGCACGGCTTAGCGCCAGGTACCTGGAGTGGGCTCAGGAATGTGGCTTCTGAGAGCATCTGGCTTGTTACCCCTTGTCTCCCAGACGCTCCTGCGAGGCCCTTCAGGAAGATGAATGGAAGGCGGAGGTGATAAATCTGAGAAGCCCCGCAGTAAAGTCTCCTGAGTCGGCTTCTGAGAAAGTCCCAGCCCCAGTTATTGAGGTCACATGCTCCCCACACGCCTGGCTCGGCCTGCATAAGACCGGCAGGAAACTTTCCTCTTGCGTTTTCTGCAGGACACAGTGGTCCGTGATAATACGGAAGGCAAAGTCAGTGTCATTTACAGGGCCCCTTGGGGGATGTCTCCTCTTTGGGGAGTTAAAGTGGCCTGAAGATTGTACCAGCCTGCACCCCCCCCCCATGCCGTTAATCCAGTAATCTTGCAGACAGAGAGCAGAGAGCATCTCTGTTTGGTGAATAAAATGGTCTTGCAGATAGCCACCAGCCCACACCCCTACTTGGTGAATAAAATAGCCAGTCGGTTAACTCCAAGCCCACATCCCTGTTAGGAGAGTAAAGCAGACAACAGCTACCAGTTCACACCTCCCTTTTCATAACTAAGATGGCATTGCAGACTGCTACCAGCCAGCCCTCGCCCCAAGCTTTTTCCCTCTTTCCTACCCTCTGATTAGTAGAAAGTCGCTGGCAGCCAGCACTCATCTTGCTAAGGAAAAGCAGGTCTCTTGAAACTGCCACCTAGGTTCCCGGCACTGGTGAAACCATCCCTGTCTCTCCTCCCTGGCCTTTAGGGAGAAGACAGATGACACCTCTGGGGAAGACAACGATGAGAAGGAGGCAGTGGCCTCCAAAGGCCGCAAAACCGCCAACAGCCAGGGAAGACGCAAAGGCCGCATCACCCGCTCAATGGCCAATGAGGCCAACAGCGAGGAGGCCATCACCCCGCAGCAGAGCGCCGAGCTGGGTGAGTCTCGGGCTGGAGAAGGGGCGCCGCAAGCACAGCAGGCTCAGAATCCCAGCACTAGCTGCACACTCGCTGTGTGACCTGGGGCGAGTTCCTTAACCTCTCTGTGCTTCAGTGGCCTCGTCGGCACTGCGGTTGCCCGTAATGCCTGTAACCGTGGGGTGAGCGTTTTAGTGACTTTGTGTGTAGGAAGGGCCTAGAACAGTGCCTGGAGCATGGGAAAGTCTCACTGGCTGTCAGCCGTGATTATTCCAGAGCTGGAGAGTTCACATAAAATTCCAGATCACCAATTTGGTTTTGTTTTTCACTCAGAAAATCTGGCCTTGGGACTTCCCTGGTGGTCCAGTGGTTAGGCCTCTGCTCTTTCAGTGCCAAGGGCCTGGGTTCAATCCCTGGTCGGGGAGCTAAGATCCCGCAAGCCACCGAAAAACCACCCCTTTTTGCGGGATCTTAGTTCCCTGACCAGGGATTGAACCCATGCCCCCTGCAGTGGAAGTGTGGAGTCTTAACCACTGGACCACCAGGGAATTCCCTGTACCTTCATTTCTGTGGGCCTCAGTTTCTCCTTCTGCTCAGTGGGTGCCCACCCCCAGGTGCTCTGAGCCTCACGCCCTACCCCAAGGGGGGAAACAAAAGAGAGAAGAATTGAGTAGCAGTTCCCAAGTTCGGCCACAGGGGGGCAGCCGGTGTGTGCTTGCTGTCTGTAGCGTTTTGGCCGTTTGGGGCCTGCCCTCCGGCATGTGCGGGAACCCGGACCCGTGGCCTGAGTGTTGAGGCTGAGGCCCCAGCCACCTGGATGGCTTCCCGGGATGGGAGTTGATGGAGGTGATGTTCCCTGTCTCACAGACGCCCGCCTCGTCCACACCCAGGGTTTGTGCCAGGCACCTCTTCCTTCTCCCCGTGGGAGGTCATTGGTACCCATTTCATACATGGGCTGTTTGAACCTTAGAGAAGGGATGTTGCCTCTCTAAAGTCCCAGTCAGTTGGGGTTCAAAGCCAGCCCGCTGGCCACAAACCCCGTGCAGCTCCCGTGGGCTGGTGCTGGAGTGCCTGGAGACCCAGGGCAGGAGGGTTCCCTTCAGGAGGGGAGGCACTGGCACACCTGACTTCTGGGGAAGCTCTCCCGGACCCCAGGCTGACGCTGGGGCCGGATGGTGGAGTGGAAAACACAACCCCAGGCCCTCTGATGGGCACCTCCCATCCCAGGCTCCACTTCCACAGCCTGCCTCTGGGGGTGCCGTGGGAGGGAAGGGGAAAGCTGGCCATGGTAGCAGGGGGCGGGGAAGCTGCCCGAACTTCCCTGTGATGGTCAGCGGCCTCTACCAAGTGCATACTCTGTGCCTAGCGCGGTTCCAGGCACTGAGTCCGTGACGCTGACGTCCCTCACGCTCGCCGCCCTCGCGACATCTTAAGCGACTTTCAGGGAAGAACAAGGGCTCACGTGTAGGGGAACTTGGAGGAGAGGCTCAGAAACAGCCATAGCAGACACTCGGCTAACTCCCCCGACTCCAAGGCAGCTGTGTTCCTTCTCAGTAACACGAGCAGCCCCATCCTCGTACCGCATGAGTCAGGGGAGAATATAGTAATCACCCTGTAGAGCAGGGCCCTCCCGCAGGGGACAGGTGGCCATGTCTGGAACCGTTTTTGATTGTCCCAGTTGGAGTGGGGGATCCTGGCACCTAATGGGTAGAGGCCAGGGATGCTGCTCCACACCCGCAATGCCCAGGGCAGCCCTCACGACAGAGGGTCACCCGGCCCCAGTGGGTCCATGCGCAGATGAGGTCCCTGCCCATCACGTCCCTCCTCCTCTCCCGCCGCCTTCATGTGGTCACCATGCTCCCAGCCGAGTGCATACAGAGGCAGCTCAGGGTCCAGGCCCTGGATCGCCTCAGCGTTCCCCTCTGTAAAACAGGTGCCTGCACACCCTCCACCCAGCAGGCACCCCGAGTAGCCAGAGGCAGAGAAAGTGCCCCGCTCCAGGCTGCTGCCAACACGCTGTGTCTTCCTTTCCAGCTTCCATGGAGATGAACGAGAGTTCTCGCTGGACCGAAGAAGAGATGGAAACAGCCAAGAAAGGTGAGGGATTTCTGGCTGCTCTAATCGCCCTCGATGGGCATCCGGGTCCTGCAGCTTGTGTGGTGGGGAGGAGGTTGACCTGTGCCCTTAAACGGGGCTGTGGTGTGGTCTGCAGTGGGTGTTCTCAGATTGGCCGTGTCTCCTCGGAGCCTCAGTTTTGTCCTCCAGAAAATGGGTCTGTGTGGCCATGTTGTCGGTGTACGGCTTCCGTGACCACTGGGGCCAGCATATCATGGTGTTGCAGACTGAGTGGCGGCAGAGCACCCGGGTGCCTTGGGAGGTGCAGAGCCTGCTGGTGGCCACCGCGGCGGGGTCACGGGGTCAAGCTGTTCCCCTTCGCTGCGCCGTCTCCCTGCGCTGTGGTGCTGACGCCGCGTTCTCTGTAGAAGCCACCAGCACATTCATTGTTCATTGGAGCCAGAATGGCTGGGCCCTTGGCTTCCTGGCTCAGTGACCAATCTCTGGGTCTCAGTTTCCCCATCTGTGAAAGAGAGGGGCATCCGGGTTGGCCAAGAGAAGCCAGAGGTAACAGGCACTAAGCGTCCCAAGGATGGCCCGGCACTGTCGGGGCTACGTCGGTGTCGATCCCCCGGCCCCCATCTCTGGGAGATGCTCTAGCTGCCCCTCCCTCTCCTGTGCCCAGGGCAGGGGCCGTCAGACTAGCTCAGCGCCGGCAGGAAGGCCAAGGCTGAGGTGGCATCTGAGCCCCCTTTTGCCTGCTTGCTCTCATTCATCTTGACCCCAGCCCTGAGAGGTGAGTCTTGTTTCCGGCCGTTTTGTGGACGAGGGAGTGAGGGGCAGAGGCCGAGGATGGCCCGGTCCTGGAGCTGGTGACCTGGGCCTCCCAGCTCTTGTCCCCAAGGTCCTGCTGAGGCCCCACTGCTGAGGTGCAGCTCCTTTGTGCCCAGAGCTCCAGGTCATGACTCAGGGACGGAGCAAATGGCCTTTCTAATGAAGGACCCAGGTGCACAGGGACAGTTGTGTGCGAGGACAGCTGGGCCCGGAGGCTGAGACCTTGGACCATGGGCTGCCTGCCCTGCCCACCCCCTCCCCTCCCTCTGCCCCGGGAGAGGGTGCCTGAGGGCCTGAGCGTCTGGTCCTGGTATTTCAGAAACTGACCAGGAGCAGCCCCAGACCTGATCAGGCCCCCTACCGGGGACCGAGCCCCTCCCCTCAGGGCTCCTGCCCGGGCACGCTGTCCCTTGGAGGCTCCAGACCTCCTTCCTCCAAGCTCCCAGGCCTCTGGTGAGGCCGGCCTGGAGGAAGGGCCGGGCTGGACCCTCAGCCTCATTCAGAAGAGGAGGAGCTGCCTTGGTTCCTCTCGCAGGTGAGGCCCTATTTTCAGCGTCTCAGGAGCACCAACGGGGGCCTGTGCGCATGGTCTCTGGCTGCCGGGGATCAGTGGGTGCTGTCAGCCCCCCAAGGGGGCCACGCTGTCCTTTTCTTCTGTCTTCTGTGTCTACTTTGTGGTTTTTGGTATGGATTGCACCATGGGGTGCAAAAGAGGCTTTATTTGAAAATGTGTGATGTTTTTTCCCCCCTTTAATTTTGGCGAGATACGTATAATGTAAAAACCTACCATTTTAATGATTTTAAACTGGACAATTCAGTGGCATTAAGTGCATTCATGGCGTTGGGCAGCGATCACCTCTCTCTTGCCCCAGAACCTTCTGCCACCCCAAACGGCGACCTCGTACCCATTAGCAGTCATTCCCCATTCTCCCCAAGCCCTGCCCACCTCTGGTGCCCACTAGTCCGCTTTCTGTCTCTATGGATTTGCCTGTTTAGGACGTCGGCGTGAATTGAATCACATGGCATATGCCCCTTTGTGTCTGGCCTCTCTCAGCATCATGTTGTTGAGGTCCATCCATGTCGTAGCCTGTGTCAGCACCTCATTCCTTTTTATGGCTGAGTTGTATTCCTCCGTGTGGACAGAGGAGTTCTATTTATCCATTCATCCATTGCTTGATGGACACTTGGGTTGTTTCCACCTCTTGGCTATTGTGAATAATGCTGTTGTGAACATTTGTATAGAATTGCATGGTTTTTTTAACCACACGTGAGACCCTGGGATCTCAGCCACCGGCAGTGATATTGCCCGGGGACCCACCCACCAGGGCCGTGAGGGGCTCCACGTGCATGTCCCAGGGCTACCAGCCTGTGCTGTGTCTTCTGTCGTCATGGCAGCCCCATCCCCAGCTCCTTCCCAGTTGCCCGGGAACCGGGAGTCGGCTGAGTCAGAGGCTGCCCTCTCTCTTCCTTTGGGAGACGGCTGGGGATGACTCACCGGCTGGGACGGGAGTGTGCCCCACTGTCTCAAGGTTGAATCCTCAGTGGCGGCAGCGAGCTCATCCTGGGTCCTGCCTGTGGAGACGGCAGCGTGCGAGTCCCCCCGGGGACCGTGCACGCCGAGGCCCTGCTCAGTGACATTTGTGATAATGTGATGAGTGCCAGTGTGCTTGTCCGCCGTGAATTATAGCAATCTGGACGATTACCGCTCAGGGTGGCTGCTAATGGCTGCCTGTTCCAGGCGGCGGGAGGGGATCGGGGCCGGGAGGCAGGTGCTGGCAGCCCCCAGGACTCCTTCTCCACAGTGGGCGGGGGTGGAGAGGCTAGGAATGTTCCAGTGCCCCCGGCCCTCAGAAACCCAGGAAGGTACCCAAAACCCAGCTGTGCCCGAGACAGATGGTACCCACCCATCCTCCTACCCATTTACATCGACCCAGTGCCTCACCCTGTGCAGGGCAGGGGTACCCAGAGATGAGCCAACCCTGGTCCCTCCCTCAGGGAGCCCAGGAAGTGAGCAGCCAGGTGTCCCCAGGGCCTTGGGACCACTGAGCCTGCCCCAGGCATCCCAGGAGACTTCCAGGAGCCAGGCCTAGAAGGATGAGCTGCAGAGGGTCCCCCGTCCCCGGAGAGAAACTGGACCTCAGCCTCTGGACCTTTTAGCTCTGTGACCTCAGACAAGCTAGTCAACCTCTCTGTGCCTCAGTTTCCTCATCTGTACAATGGGAATTAGAGTATCACCCACTGTATGAGTTTCCTGGGGCTGCCGTAACAAGGTACAAACTTAGTGGCTTAAAAACAACAGAAATGTATTCTCCCCCAGTTCTGGAGACCGTGAGTCCGAAATCAAGGTGTCGGCAGGGCTGGGTTCCCTCTGAGGGCTCCAGGGGAGGGTCCTGCCTCTCCTCCTCCAGCCTCTGCTGTTGCTGGCAATCCTTGGCGCTTCTTGGCTTCTAGACATTCCAATCCCTGCCTGCATGGTACATGGCTGTCTTCCCTCTGTGTGTCTCTGTCCAAATTTTCCTCTTCTTAAAAGGACCCACCCTAATCTAGCATGACCTCATCTTAACTCGATCACATCTATAAAGACTTTTTTTCCAAATAAGGTCACATTCACAGGTTACAGGTGGGTGGACATGAAATTTGGCGGCGGGTGGGGAACACTGTTTAATCCAGGACAACCACCTGTGTGGGGTTTTGGTGAAAGAAAACAGAAGCGCTTACAGGGGTGGTGACTTAGACACACTGAGTTCCCTGTCACTGTTTGTAATGATAACCAACTCCTCAGCCTTGTGACCCTGGCCCATCCCTGTCTTGGCCTCATTTTCCCTCATCCTCCAAAATGAGGCTGGGATGCCATCACCGAGGGGCATTATAAGAGTGGCATGAGCCATATTCGTGCAGTCCTTGGCATACAGTACGTGCTCAGAAGTGGCAGGCCTGCAGTTCAGCACAGACTCTGGAGCCTTTCTTCCTGGGTTTGAGTCCCAGCTCTGTCCCTTGTGGGTGTGTGACGCTGACCAGTGCCTGCGCTTCCCGGGGCCGCAGGGAAGGGGCTGGAGGTGAGCGACCTGCTGAGCAAGCATAGAATGACATTTGGAGGCGGTTTCACAGCGCTGGGGAAGGGTCCTTGGGCTGACACCCAAAGCACGGAATAACATTAAGTAACACTGTCAAGTACTTGTCGGTACGCCTGGGTACCAGGTACAGCTAAGGGCGTTATGTGTATCAAGTCACTTCATCCCCACTCACCTTATGAGGCAGATGCTATGACTAGTTTCCTTATCCAGATGATGAAATTGAGACCGAGAGAGGTTAAGTGAGCTGCCCAAGGTCACACAGCTGTTAATTGGTGGAGCTGGGATTTGAACTCACGCACTCTAGTTACAGAATGGGAATGGGGCTGGTGTGAGGTTTGGATGAGTGGGTCCATGGGCCTGGCTACTATTAATCAGATAACGAGAGAGGGAAGGGCCTCCCAGCAAAGGAATAGCATGTGCAAAGGCCCTGTGGCAAGGGCAGCGTGGTCAAGTAAGAAGCTAGTAAAACCCAGAGAACGAGAGGAAGAGAGGCAAAGAATGGAGAGGCCGTCGGGAGGGCCACCCCTCACCCCCCGGCCTTACCAGCTGTGGGATAGAGTTTGGCTGTTACTCTGAGAGCATGGGGAAGACCATTGCATGGGGAGGAGTGGGACAGGGGACAGGATGGCTGCAGGGTTCCAGGTTGGCAGGTGGGCACCTGCTCCTTCCTTTGTGCTTGGAGTGAGGGCTGCCTGTCCTGGGGCTCCTACCAAGTGAGGACTGAGCATGTGCAGGGCAGCCTCAGGGAGCTGGCTGCCTGCCCTCGGGCCCAGCGCCATGCTGGGCAGGCACTAGGCTGGGATGTGAGGCTCTAGTTCCCCTGGGAAAGGTCAGCCTGGCCTGGCTTGCAGTCTCGACCCAGCTGTGTGGGAGGCCCAGGGCTCTGCTGGCAGCTCCTACTGGTCTCCAGCCCCCTTCTCTGGTGGACAGGGAACCAGCTTTGGAGGGGGCAGGGAAGCCCCCAGGCACACCATTCCAGACCAGAAATAGGCACTGGCCCAGCTCCTGGCCACCAGCCCCTCCCTGGCCTCGAGTGGCCTGCCTGGTGAGGAGGGAGAAGGCGAGGTGTGCGGCCCCAGAGTAGGGTGCTGCAGGGACCAGGATCTGGTGGCCCCATGCAAGGCCTGTCGGGCC